GCTGCTCTTGTATTGCTGCCATCAAGTCTGCTAAGCTGTAGTTTTATTTTCCGCCTCTCGTTTCCATTTTTTTTTATCGTTTCACTCTCTGACACCAGTTTGTTACGTCTCCGTCTGTTAATTGATTTTTCCGTAACTTCTTTCCGATGAAACTTTAGCGACACAAGTCCTTACTTAATAAAACTGGCTTATTCTTTCTGAATATAACTTTACCGATACACTTATTTTCAACAGTCGCTCTTTTACAAACGTTTTAACAACGAACGTTAACTTCAACAATACTTCCGACTGCAGTTCAATTACTCACTACCTACACACACATTATTGTCCCGTCACGTTGACACCCTCTTATATATACCAGACTACCCTATGTCTAGTAATCTCCCGACAATTCACGAAGGTACAAGATATTTCCAGAAAGCAGGGGGGGGGGGGCGTGACACTAGTATATATGTACTGATGCTTTTGATAAATGTGTGATAATTATGAATTAAGAAATAGTTGAACATAGATTATTATATTGAATACTTGAAAAGAGATCCAAAAACAGAGTTGCAACAAATGATAAAACACAAGACACTATAAAATCATAATAAAAAAATTTAGCTTCTTATATTCTTAAACTTAATTATGTTACTGTTTATCCTCCAAAATTGTTATAAGAATGGAAATGTAATGTGCTTAATAAGATTAAAACTAAACTTACAGATACTAATTAAAATAAATTTCAAGTGGATTTCACTTTTTTAAATGAAAAATGTAACTTAAAAATCGCAAGAAAAATATCTAATTTTGCCAGTTGACAAAAATTTCTGTGATTTTGTAAGGATTCCTGTGTTCAAGTAATGATTAATGAAGTTAACTTAGAAAAGTTTCAATTTGTAATAATAAGAAACTGTTGTCAATAATTTAATTAAAACTTCAAAGAAATTCATTCTAAAACAAATCCATATTTAGTTATACCTTTATATTTATATATATACATACATGCTGTACTTAAATTATACAAATCTCTTGTTAAATTTAAATTATTTCTAGCTCAGTTACAACGTGTTTAAACAATCAACTACTGTACTGGATAAAATACTTAGCCTTTTATTTGAGAAGGTTAAACATGATGATAAACATAATTTTTGGATTATAGAAAATAATCAACCTATTTTACGTACACATGAATGCTTAAATCAAGCTTAATTAGCCAAGTTAGTTCATGCTTTTGATTTCACTAGTTTCTTCAGAATGATTCCTTTAAAGTATCTTGTTCGTTTTAAACTTATTAATAAAATAATTTTTGATTTATATATTATACTAAATTATGAAAAAATTACTGCTATGAAGGTTAAAGATTTATTAGGTTTTTGTGTTTCTAATAAATTTATTTTCTTTGGAGATCAATTTTATAAATAAACATTAGGTATCTTGATGGGTGCATATTATTCCACATGCATTGCCAATCTTTATCTTTCTGAAAATATGATCATAGAAAACGCCTCCGATTCTGATTTATTTGATTTAACATCGCTTTGAAAATCCCATCATAATATTAGTATTTTTGTGCCTGTTGATTGTGCAAATTTTAACTTCTCTTAATTCCTTCTTTTCTGTAACACCAATATACGTGACATAAACAGCGACTAGCTGTGTTCGTGAACTTTCTTTCTTTCTTCTTTTATGCAAATATTATCAGATTAACATATTATCTAGCCAAACCTTCGTGTTGTTATGCTAGGATAGTAAACCAGTGTACTATTATTTCTCTGAAACAGGAATACCACACATACAAAAACAAAATATCTGAATAATTTCTACAACTAAGTAATCTACAGTAATTTTCAACGTAATAGATGCTTAGATAATAACATGGAGAACTCTCATGTATTTGACACAGTCATTTCCTTCTCCTACATGGGAACTCACATTCATGTGTTAGACGAAGTTTGACAATGATTTTTTTTTATTCATAAAATCAGTTTTGGTTAAAAGATCCCTTAGAAATCTTCCTCTACTGCCATATTAAATGCGAAGGGAGCGAAGTGGAGAAAGTTGCACAGAACTCAAGGTTCTTAAACTTCTGAATGGAAAGACTATAAAATGTGCTGTGGATTATTATGGACCACGTTATACCAACAAAGAAAATGAAAAATGTAGACAATTCAATAAAATTCAGGCACCTTTTATATCCATAGTGGATCGTTAGAACAGAATGACTTTGGCTAAGGAAGAGCCATAAAATGGTGAATGCTTTTGGTAGACTTAAAAGACCACTATGTCTGCAGACTTACAACGCTAAAAACCGGGTTTCAACACTCGTGGTGGGCAGAGCACAAATAGCCCATTGTGTAGTCTTGTGCTTAACTACAAACAAATAAGGCCACCTACCCATTTTCATAGCAGCATCACACGTACAGAAAATAAAACGTTTCTTGTACTTAAAATTTTCAACAGGGCAGTGTGAAAATGGAGATATATACACACTTATATACCTTTAAATTTTTCTTGCCTTTATATAAAGTTGATGCTTCCTTTAGGTTAACTCTTAAAATAGTAACTCTCTCTTGCACGGTGAGCTACAATTTAAATAAATAAAATTCAGCTGCACAAGCTACAAAATTTGCATTATTTCGCTTTACTTCTGTCATACAAATAATCACAGAAACTGTATTTGTATATTATAATATTCAAAGCATGAGATATACAACAAAATGCATATTGTCTAAAAACGAAATTACAGCGCTTCTAGTGGCGTATGCTTGTATGCTCAAACATCCACATCAGTTTCACAATTTTTTAAAGATATATAATATTGTCACGTCTCTGTTCGTTAGTTAATTTTCCGTAACTTCGTTCCGACGAAACTTTAGCGACACAAGTCCTTTCTTAAATAAAACTGGTTTATTCTTTCTGAATATAACTTTGCGATACACTTAACTTCAACAGTCGCGCTACACTTCTCAACGAACTTCTCACGTGCTCGAGTTCAATTACTCACTACTACACTGTTGTCCCGTCACGTTGTCAACGTCTTATATTTATATATATATATATTTATATATATATATGTA